GTTCAATATGCGCTTTACTTGTTCTAATATATATATATATATATATATATATATATATATATATATATATATATATATATATATATATATGGTTGGCGGCATCCGGTTTCGGATTTGCCTGTCACTGTGGCCAGCCACAGGACGCCTGCGCCTACAGAGGGACCATAAGTGGCTTGCGCTGCACCACCCACAGCTCCAACCACACACCCCATATCCAGTGTAAAACCGAAGGAATAAGACCGGGAGGCATGTGGATGGGAGCCACGTTTCATCAACGGAGCCGGCCCACACTCCTTCACAGGCAAACACAAGCACACTGTATTTGGGAAATCAAGCGCACACAAGGCGGTGGCTGGACCGTAGTCCGCTCCACACTGAGTGCGTGGAACCACTCTTCGAGCCTAGCACGGCCACAAGGACCGTGCACCCTGTCCCCTCTAGCAACGACCAACTGTCTCCTGGAGCCAGTATGGACGAGGTAGTGGGTAATAGACAGGTAGGCACCTTGTCAACATGCACACCAAGCGCAGCCACACCGGGGATAGCACGCAACAGCCAATCACTTGAAACGACAAAATGAAATAACCTAAATCCAATAATGCATACAGATACGGTGGCATAACTCTTCGCTAAATTAGCATATGAAGTAAGTTGGTTAGTAATGAATCCGCGATAAGGAAAAAATGTCCACAAGTTACCTAAAATGCTACAAACGCAACAAAATTACCGACGATAAGCGCAATTAGCGTAAGCAACGTGGCCAGCTAATAGAAGACCATTCAGATAGGCAAAACTAACCAAATAAACTGGAATGAAATTTAGACAGCTTAAAGAGACCTAGTCTAAGAGTACGTTGGTTTAGCCCAACTGCGGTGAAGAAGCACCAAGAATGCAACATCAGCCTCAGCATGGGGCACACATAGAGGAAATACATGGTTGGCGGCATCCGGTTTCGGATTTGCCTGTCACTGTGGCAAGCCACAGGACGCCTGCGCCTACAGAGGGACCATGCGTGGCTTGCGCTGCACCACCCTCAGCTCCAACCACATACCCCATATCCAGCGTAAACCCGAAGGAATAAGACCAGGGGGCATGTGGATGGGAGCCACGTTTCATCAACGGAGCCGGCCCACACTCCTTCACAGGCAAACACAAGCACACTGTATTTGGGAAATCAAGCGCACACAAGGCGGTGGCTGGACCGTAGTCCGCTCCACACTGAGTGCGTGGAACCACACTTCGAGCCTAGCACGGCCACAAGAACCGTGCACCCCGTCCCCTCCAGCAACGACCAACTGTCTCCTGGAGACAGTATGAACGATGTAGTGGGTAATAGACAGGTAGGCACCTTGTCAACATACACATCAAGCGCAACCATACCAGGGATATCAAGCAACAGCCATTCACTTTAAACGACAAGCGGAAATAAAATAAATGCAATAATGCATACAGATACGGTGGCATAACTCTTCGCTAAATTACCATATGAAGTAATTTGGTTAGCAACAAATCCGTGATAAGTAAGAAATGTCCACAAGTTACCTAAAATGCTACAAACGCAACAAAATTACCGAAGATAAGCGCAATTAGTGTAAGCAACGTGGCCAGTTAATAGAACATTATTCAGGGAGGCAGAACAAACCAAATAAAGCGGAATGAAATTTATCCAACTTAAAAAGACCTAGTTTAAGTGTAAGTTGATTTAGCCCAACTGCGGTGACAAAGCATCAAGAATGCAACATCAGCCTCAGCATGGGGCAGATATATATATATATATATCGCGGCGCCAATAGTCTATGTTAACTTGAAACCAAACGGAAAAACTGCAACTAGAACCTCTAAAAACTGAGACTAGAACGAGGCATGTGTAAAAGCGGACGATTTCGACCGATTTAACTTAACCACCTTTGGAGATTGTGTAGTGTTTAGAATGGGAATGCTGCGAGCGCTTCGATTTAAGTAGTCACCGGTGGATGGTACGTGCCGTAACGAGCATAATGTTTTTTCTGGGCGAGGTTACAAACAAAACACCAAAGCTGAAGGTCAGTAAATGGTCGTGTAAAATTCTGCTTGTGAGATAAGAGCAGCCTAAAATTCATGGAATGGTCGTGGTGAGTCGGTACCAGCCAGCGTTAGTAGCTTTATTCGGCCATCTTTTAATGTTCCATACCGTCATTGGCTATAGAATTGAGCAAGCAAACAAACGGATAGTGCTCCCCTACATCAACAACGTCTCCGAACTAACATTAAAATTGCTATAGTCATGTGGAATCTTTGTGGCTCACAAATCAAGTGCCACGCTGTGGGATTGATCTCAAGACCCAAAAGAAAACTCAGTCAAGTCGACCAATGCAATGTCATCTACCAGATAAAATGCAGCGACTGCGATAAAAACTACGTCGGACAAACTGGAAGAAAGCTTTGCACGCGAATCACCGAGTACAAGACAGCCGTCAGAAGACATGATGCGCACTCATTGGTTTCTGCGCATGATGATCAAGAAGGCCACCATTTCGGTCTCTAGAATATAAAGATCCTAGCACGTGTAAGTACACAACACGCGAAGGAGCTTTTGGAAGCCTGGTACTCTACAACGAATTCAATCAATCTATACATCGAACTGGACTCAGTATACGCAACGATGCTGACGAACGACCGCCAACTCGATCGATTGAATCCAGAACTGACGACAGACTGGCTCACAGGAGCAAGCATAGACCACGAAACTCAAGGGGTCAAGGTCAAAGATCATCTCCCCGTCAACCAGGCTGAACGCGCATCGAAGTCCCAACCAACAAGGTTGCTCGTCTCCACGGGCAACCACGGCGGTATAAAAACGCACGCAAATCACGCTCAGCGCACTCCCACCGAGGCTCCTCTACGATACTACACGCCACTCAAGTACGTACTGGTGATGTCCCCTCGATTGGTGAGGAAACGTTCGCAACAAAATTGCCAAGCACAGCGAACAGTTCAACTGTCGTTCCAAGCCATTTGGTTCTTTTTAGTCGTAACTGCTAACCATCTTTCTACCATTCTAATCATTTTTATTTGCTAGTTCTCTGTTAGGCACTCATGTTATGCATTTCGATTTCATTTATCGTAGATCCGTCGAACAGTATGGCTCCAAATCGATTGGGAATTTTGACCTCGCCGCTTTCCTATCATCGATCTCCAGTTTCTTGGCCATGTTCAGTGGTTCCTTCTTCATTGGTGTCGTTATTGGTGCCCTGACAGCTCTGCTAACCAAGTTCACTCACATACGAGAACACCCGTTGCTAGAGACCACTTTGTTTGTCCTGATGTCCTACAGCACCTTCTTGCTGGCGGAAACGATAGGTTTCACAGGTAAGCAGCATTTACACCGCATTTGCTCATCATGTTCCCATTCACTCTGCATCATCAGTGTTCCTGTTTTCCGTTCTATTACATGACGTACTGTATCGACTGAGGTTATTGCAATTCGCGGCTAGCTCTTGTGCGCTACCGAGCACCCACTGACTTGCTCTGAGAGCATTTTGTGCTCGGTTTTGGATACACGGGGCTTAACTGTGCTCCTTTGGTTTCCGTGAAACTTGCTTGCTTCTCTGCACATCTATTGACACCAGGCTTTTCGGGCGCCTTGCATTAAAGTCCTTGGATTATACTCCATTGATGTCGACTACCGTCGAAGGACAGTATCGTACCCCTTTTCAATTGTATTTAACTTAACTAGTACTCTTCTCGATGTAACAAGAGACTGTGCCCATACATATGCTATGTTTAGTTTTTAATTTTTACATCTCTTGTTTGCAAATACTTAAGATGATATGTATACACTACGCAATATATTGTTTAGTATTGCAAAGACAAGTTTTTTCTGATTCGTCATTCTGCATTGCTTGACGCCGAGATGTTCAGTTTCTTGCGTTCTGTTATCTGGACTGAATATAGGCGAAAATTAGCATCACGTAGAACTCTGGGTTTTAACATCATCTTACAGAACCGTGGCAGGAAGTTGGTTTTACTTTCAACTCTTTGTATTTTAGCTGCGGAACGCAATGTACATTCTTGTCGTTCATCATCACACACCTCATCTAGAAGTGGAAGATACCTCAGTCACTGCGCCGCTAAACGACACAGTAAGATATTGGATAGAGATAGAATACTATACACTAGTACAGAATACGAATTAGAAACAACTGATATTATAATTGGAGGGTCAAGTTTGGATTACACGTTGTGTGATTGGATTGCGACACGCAACCTCAATACAATGGACTGTGATTCACATTGAAATGAACCTTAGTCACTGCGATCGCTGGGACCGTATTCAAAGTAGATGGAAATTGGGTATTGCCCACCCGAAAATACTGCACAACCACGACGCGTTTCGATGTAATTTTCATCTCATCAGGTGGAGACAGCAGGATTTGAACCCAGGACCATTGGAATAGCAGCCAACACTACTACCCCTTTGGCTACCGGGTCACGATGGGCAACACATTTTGTCACAACGGTAGATGACTAATTGGAGGGTCAAGTTTGGATTACACGTTGTGTGATTGGATTGCGACACGCAACCTCAATACAATGGACTGTGATTCACATTGAAATGAACCTTAGTCACTGCGATCGCTGGGACCGTATTCAAAGTAGATGGAAATTGGGTATTGCCCACCCGAAAATACTCCAAACTTGACCCTCCAATTAGTCATCTACCGTTGTAACAAAAAGTGTTGCCCATCGTGACCCGGTAGCCAAAGGGGTAGTAGTGTTGGCTGCTATTCCAATGGTCCTGGGTTCAAATCCTGCTGTCTCCACCTGATGAGATGAAAATTATATCGAAACGCGTCGTGGTTGTGCAGTATTTTCGGGTGGGCAATACCCAATTTCCATCTACTTTGAATACGGTCCCAGCGATCGCAGTGACTAAGGTTCATTTCAATGTGAATCACAGTCCATTGTATTGAGGTTGCGTGTCGCAATCCAATCACACAACGTGTAATCCAAACTTGACCCTCCAATTAGTCATCTACCGTTGTGACAAAATGTGTTGCCCATCGTGACCCGGTAGCCAAAGGGGTAGTAGTGTTGGCTGCTATTCCAATGGTCGTGGGTTCAAATCCTGCTGTCTCCACCTGATGAGATGAAAATTACATCGAAACGCGTCGTGGTTGTGCAGTATTTTCGGGTGGGCAATACCCAATTTCCATCTA